TGTGTTTCATTTAATGTTTTTGGATTTTGTAAACTACTCTACTTGTAGTTGGACTGCAAAATACAATAATTTTATACAGGAGAACAAACCACAAAAATTAAATTTTTTGAGCCAACCCGCTAGCCAATATTTTGAGCTAACCAACCCGCGAGCCAACCCACTAGCATCATTTCGAGCTAACTCGCGAGCTTTTTTTGAGCCAACCCGTGAGCTTTTTTACGAGCCAACCCGCGAGCTGATTATCGAGCCAACCCGCGAGCCAATCCTAACCCGGCTCGGGTCGAGCCGGGTTGGGTTTTCTGGCTCGTTTTTTTTTTCGAGCAACCCGACCCGACCCATTTTTTCGGGCTGAATGCGGGTTGGGCCGGGTTGGCCCGTTTTGCCAACCCTAGTCTCATCCATGGGAGAGGCACCAGGAAGCTTCCCGGGAGTTATATGATGGGGTCCTTGAATGGAATCCTAATGTGGATGTTCTTGGATTTGTCCCCAGTTGTTTGTGATATTGTATGTCATGCATTTTTACATAATGTTATTTGTTGCACATTGAGTGAGCCATGGGGTGGAGTGATCCTCTAGTACCCTTGGTTTACTGAGATATATTTGTATATCTCACCCCGCGTTTGGGGATACCATTTCAGGTTATGTTGAGCATGGAGGAGTTGAGCATGAGGTGCATATGGAGGGCATAGCATATTGGAGGATTCCATTTGATGCACATAGCCTAGTGTTTAATATTTGGACTTAGGATTATGAACTTATTGCATGTTGAGATTTCCATGCTTTTGTATGTTCATGACTATATTTTATGTCCTTTGAAATTCATGTATATCTTATGCCTTTGGATTATATTGGTATTTTGGTGAGCATGAGACTTGTCCATGACAACACATGTTGTATTTTGAGGCAGTTGAACACTTATGATGTAAAATGAGCCATATGGTATGTAAATGGCAACAAAATTGGTGAATGAGATAAAATGATACATTAGTATTAGATTATGCATGATGGAAGGGCCTAGGGCCTACATTAGTAAGGGTACATATGTTATATTAAGTATTAAAGTGTTAGGAATGAAAGTATAGATCCCTTGTGGAGTCAAAAAGCTGTCAATACTGAGATTTCACAGTAGGGAATCGATTCCCTGCTGCTGGGAATCGATTCCCTGAAACAGAGCACGTGAATTTCAGCCACTGTGAAGGCTGGGAATCGATTCTTCAAAACAGGGGAGGCAAATTTTAGCTACTGACTTCTACAGTAACTGCTGGGAATCGATTCCCATTGTGCAAAATTTTTAAAAAAAGTTTCATTTTACAACCTAAAGTGATGGTAATGCTTAGTGGAGTTATAATAAGTAAATTTTATGCTTCCGCGTGTCTTGCATTTACAATTACGGAGTTGTTTTCAATTGATTACGGAAATGTTTAATATTTTACAGTAATGACATTATAAAAGAAAAAAGTTTACCCGTAATTTAATTAACTCAATTACTATGATTGTAACTGCGCTTAATACTATATGCAATGATAACAATACCGGTACGTAACGGGCTATTACATTTTATGATATCAGAGCAGTTTCTTAGGGAACTCTGATTGTTGTATGATTATGGTAAGTGTTGTATAGTTGTACGTAGACTCTTATTGATTACTGCACATATGATTCCTTAGTGTGGGTCTGATCAGCCCATTCCTTCGTGTTATATGTGTGGTCATTATAAGATGCCTTCGTGGCAACCCTGGAGCACCTAATGCAAGTCGTAGGATTGAGGTTGTGGCTGCAGTGTTGACTGCTCCACGGACAATGATTTTTGTAAGTAAATGTTATGTAATTGAGGAATTAGTGGGAACTATTTGGAGGCATGTCTAACCCTTTTTAGGTAGAATGTTACCATAGTTGGAATTGTGGTCTTGTGGTTAGTAAGTATGATTGAAATGAGTTGATATTGTGGTGATAGTGTTGGTGAATATTCCCTATGTGTATGGAGTAGTTAAAATAATTGAGTATATATGGATTTAGTGGTATAACTTGGACATGGAGAGTGACTTGGAACCTCGAGGAACTCTAGGAAATTTGAATCAGTATGCTTATATGTAAGCTTAGATACATTGATGATAGATAAGGAAGTTATAAGTCCCTAATGAAGGGCATACACTGTTATGAATTGAGATGTTTGAGCGTAAAAATAATTTGAATCTTTGAGATATGATGTTGGAGAATGAGAGTACCTTGTAATGACTATGACAATGATGTGTTAGGTACTTCAATGATGGGATATGAAATTTCGGTCCATGATGATTTAATATTGATTGGACATAAGTGAGGATATCATGATGCATAGAGAGTACAAAGTAGGAAGTTGAGAAAATTGCCATGGATGGCATTGAACAAGGTTCATGGAGAGTATGATTGTCCGTGACAGAATAATGGTTTAACTTGATAGATATGCCATGAAGGAAACAAATGTGATATGAGAAAGTATGACTAAATGTTATGCACTAAGAGTATAAGTATGCTTTTATAATGTCGGATAGTTTGTGATTTTGTTATGATGTGACCTGATTATATGTGTGCATGGATGTGTGGGATTTTACTTGGAAATGGCTCCTTGGTAGAGGTTCATGTGGTATAATGCATAAGAGAATTGACCCATAATGGATGTCTCTTGGAAATTCCAAGGGGTGAATATGGTATTTTGAAATGTCATAATTGCTAGGGGATATTTGTAAAGGATGGTTGAATTGTATAATCTTATGTGAAATAGTAATGAAAATTGTATAAGGAATTATGATCCAGTGGGGTATATATGTACTACTAATAGTAGTGTGCTTGTGAAATAATATGATAATTGATATGGATTGATGGACGGAGTGGAGGTAATTCAATGTAATGGATATTCTACGACCACCAAGGGTAGGAGTGAGCAAGAATATTGATGGGTTGCTCTACAGTATTGAGTATAGGTTTATGAGAGCCGTAACAGGCAGTGGATTAGAACTGTGACAGGATATTGTGAGTTATTGCTTTCCAACAACAAAGTGAAATGGTATGATTAATGAATGAGCTAATGTACCATTAAGGGAAATAGATTGTATGATTAGTGAAAGAGCTAATGTACAATTTAATGTGAGATTGTATGATTATTGAAAGAGCTAATGTACAATTTAATGTGAAATTTTATGATTAGTGTATGAACTAATGTGCAATGGTAATTAGAATGGCATGATTAGCGTAAGAGCTAATGTGCTATTGAGTTGAATTGCATGGTTAGTGGAAGAGCTAATGTGCAATAGAAATTAAAATTTGCATGGTTAGTGGAAGAGCTAATGTGCAATAGAGTGTGAAATTACGTGGTTAGCGAAAGAGCTAATGTGTAATGTAAATATGAAAATGATAAGATTAGCTAATGAGCTGATGTATAACTGTCAGTGCAAGGACTGACGTGTAATTATCAGTGCAAGGACTAATGTATAATTGTCAGTGCAAGGACTAACGTGTAATTATCAGTGCAAGGACTGATGTGTAATTGTCAGTGCAAGGACTGACGTGTAATTATCAGTGCAAGGACTGATGTACAATTATTAGTGCAAGGACTGAGGTGCAATTAGTTCTATGTGATTGGACGGTTAGGTTTAAAAAAAAAAACCTCGTGTGATGGAAATTATATGCGGGAAATATGATATTGTAACATCCCACAAATTCAAGAAGTTACATAAATTTTAATTAGGAACATAGGAACAAGTCATGAATTCGAATTATGTGCATGTTTATGGTGGACGTCACTTAAATTAGGAAAATTATTCTAGTTGAAAGAATGAGTAAGTATATATATATATATATATATATATATATATATATATATATATATATATATATATATATATATATATATTTTAAGAAATTAAATCTCTAGTTAAAAGATAAGATTAATGTAATATAACCTATGAAAATTTTATTAATACCTAGAAGGAATAAGAATAACAATGTGCCCATCCTTGTGTCGCATCTGTTGGGTGGTTTGCTGATGGTGGAAAAATATAAGTTCTGATAAGGGAAGTTCCTCTGTTCTTGCAGAACACAGATTCGTCCCTTAGTTCCAACCCAAGTGCGCAAGCGCACGCATCAAGTAATAAAGGGAGTATTAATGCCCAAATTATCGTTCCCACGAGGATAAAGTGCTAATTATTGTTTTATCACTGTTTATAAAGAGTGAAAATGAGAAGAAAAGTTAGTAAATGAACTGCCTGGTCAAACGTTCCTTACTGTCTTGACAACGTTCCTCAGGAACAGTAGGTTCAATCTGATGGCAAACAGTTGCTCGCTGCGTTATGTATGTGATCCTTCCTGTTTAGAAGAAGGTGGGATAATAATCATTGGAGTTTTTATAAGTACTAAATAAAATAAAATAAAACTACTAAAACAGAAATAACTATAATCAAGAGACAACAGAGTGGTGGTTAAAACTACTAGAACGAATTTTTCAAGACAGAAAGGTATGCCAGGAAATTAAACATTTTCAGCAAGCTAAGTAAAATTTTTAAAGCCGCACCACTAGGGATAGCCTAGCGGTGTTGAGTGTGTTTAGAGTGTATTAGGTGTGCGGTTCGATTCCCTGTAATGTCCAAAAAAAAAATTTTTTTTTTTAAAGACACTCTGATTTTTGTAAGTAACCCGATTTCAATTATAAGTTTTAATTAGCAACATCAAAATGATTTTTCAGCAATTTAAAATATGCCGAAGGAACTCTAATCCTCTTAGCAAACAACTTTTTTGGATGCATACAAGGAAATATATTACACTAATACTTTTTTAGGGACTAAATTGAATCTTCATTAATTTTGTTGGATCATATTTTCAAATAATTAGAATTGTGAAGGGATAAAAAATGGATTTTTTTTTTTTTTTTTTGTAAGTGACGAAAGGAACCGTATGGTATTTTTTTGTTAGCTATAATGTACAATCAAGCAACCTAGAAATGTACAAAACAAGACTATCAGGCTATGAGCTCTGGCAAGGACAGTATCCATCACATAGACAGCAAACGCAAAGGGCGAAGGTGTTGGTGTCAGTAATGGACATCACTGGCCTCAAATCCCGCAACATCCCTTTTCATTTTCGATTAAAAGTTTCTCTTTTTGGTCAATTCAATTCACTTCACTTCAAACCCAACATGCGTTTTTTTTCTCTTTCTTCACCTCGCCTCTATCCCTTTTGCTCTCTAAGTAATCCCCCATCTCTCCCACACTCCGCATTTTCCCTGATTTCAGCTTTTTGGGTATCTTTGTTTTTTTTTTCTCATGTGTAATATGTTTTTTTTACTTCAATGAGTCCACTGTTGTTGTTTTTTGTTGCTTACATGGTACAGATGGGTCAGCTGAGATAAGCAAGGAACGTACTTTGCCTCGGGGTGTTGGAGAGGCAGTGATTGAAGCATCGCGTTCCAAGATTCTTCAGGTTGTGCTGGTGTCCCCTAAGGTAAGATTCAGTTTAAGTTGAGACTTTTTTTTTTCCTTAACCATTTGGTATTGCTCTATCTGTTTGTAACTTTTCCTTTCCGTTAGTTTTGATGATCCAGTATTCACAGAAATAAATTTCTCTATCATGTAAATAAAATAAATTAATTAATAAAAGATGACTTTCATTGGTATACTTTTTTTTTTTTTTTTTTGAGTAAACCTTGATATCTAAATATTAGAGTGTCACCACATTAGTCCTCTACAGATTTTTGTCTTCAAATTAATCCTTCAAAAAATTCGTGTGTCACCAAATCAGTACTATAAAAATCTAAAATGTCACCTTGTTTGTCCTCACGGAGGACTAAAGTCACATAAAAGGATAAATTTGGTGATTATTTTGTATCTTTAAAGGACTAATTGGATGACAAAAGTATCTGGAAAACTAATGTAGTGACACCTAGTCTTTGAGAGACTAATTTAGGGACACAAATCTTTGGAGGACTTATGTAATGACATCCTAATATTTAAATACCATATTGATGGTTTGTTTACTTATTGTTTTTTCATGGAACTACAAGTCTACAAGCTGGATTTTTTGGACAATGGAGCAAACTTTGCGAATACTTGATACTCAATCATCTTTCTCTTTTAAGCAAAGAAGACTTTATTGAACCAAAGAGAAGAAACTTCAACAATAAACATATAGAAATCACAACAAAATCCTCAAAGTGTGTGCCGTATACTCTTCTACATTAGTTTTGAGTATGAGCAGGAATTGTATTTGAGTTGGTGATAAACCATGTTCTGAACCCCCCCCCCCGCGGTTAGTTTTTATCATAGATTTAAATACTATTTGAGTGAGAAGAGATTATTTTCTTTATCTTTTTAAAATAGAAAGGTTACTTGTCTAACCTGTCAGTGCATCACTCAGATATCACAGAAAGACTGGTTTTTGTAATTTTCCTGATAAATTCCATAGACCTCTGATGATGGCTCCTATTCAAAAGAATGACCAACATTTATGAAAATAATGTTCTAACTATGTAGTTGGCAACTTATGGTGATCAATCACATATTTTTCAATTTGTTGAGGATATTGTAATAAAAACAGTAGACTTGAAAATGATAACAAGATTTATTAAAAAAAAAAAAGCAAAGAAGAAGAACGAAATTGTTAATGTCGAGTGGGAACAAGTCTTGTGCATTGTTATACAAAAAAAAAAAAAAAAAAGTCTTGTGCATTTTGATTTAAGTGAATATTAAAGTATAAATCACTTAATAAAAAGTATTGGAGCAAAACCTCTGTGTAGTAAATTGACCTTAGTAAACATTTTGTTATGCTTAGATTTGAATCTCTCCATTGCTGAAGGTTGCTATGGGATTTATGTTGTCCTTGGTAGATTCCAGGGAACACTGGTTGCATTGCTAGAACATGTGCAGCGTCAGCCGTTGGACTACATTTAGTTGGGGTGAGTTATGCTTTCTAAGTCTAATCATTTTTTTATTTGATTTTAAGATTGTTTTCTATTTGTGTTTGTTGCAAAATACTAATGATAGCCTTTGTATTTCTCAATCATATCAGCCATTAGGATTTAAGGTGGATGATACTAAACTAAAGCGTGCTGGATTGGATTACTGGCCGTATCCATGGGCATATGCTTCTACAAAGTTGAAACCTTTTTTCTCACTTCCATTTCTTCTGCTATTCTAGAAAAACCTTCTACGAACCAGGGTAGTATGTAATTAAATTATCTATCACTCCTTACTTCAACTCGTGTTCTGCTTGACTATCTGTGGCTCTCGCCTCCTCTAAATATTGTTTTGACTAGATGAAGTGTGTTGCTTTTCAAATTTAGCATATATAATAGTCTCAACTGATTTGAAATTGTTTTATTAAAAAAAAAATGATCTAATATTGACATAATTGCATTATTGTTTTTTATTTGTTTTCCATTAACACAAAAAATTGCAGATATGTGGTTGTTAAAGTTCATGATTCTTGGGAAGATTTTCGTGATTATTTTAGGCAACAGGTAATCATCATTCTCAAAGATGAATTCCAGAAACCTTCATCGTACTTTTCCTTTGACTCCACATGTCACCATTTTCTGGTACAGGAGGGTGAAAAACGGTTGCTAGCATTTACAAAGAGGGGAACAAAAATTCATTCTGTGAGTTGCCCATCATTAAATTTAATAGCATAGAACCTTTAATGATAGCATTTCTCTATTTGATGCCTCATGATTAACCTGTCTCTCATGTTATTACTTCTCCTAAGGCTAGTGTAACAGCCTGTTGTGTACCGGTATTGTTAACATTAATTATGATATTAAGCGCAGTTACAATCACAAAATTTCATTTATAAAAATACGAGTAAACTTTTTCCGTTTATTACGCGAGCATTTAAAACAATAAAAGCGTAATAAATAAAGGCTGTAACCGTAACTGTAAACTCTTTGCAGAATAATTATTTAAACTACTTTTACATCATATATTACTTCTCTCAAGTAACTAAGGGGTTCCCATAAACCCACTTAGCTAAAATTTCACTTTTACATTTTTTACCTATCCGAACATGGTTCGCTCTTTAATTTTCTGCGGACAAACCGCATACGACAAGACTCTCATCTTTTAGTATGTTACTCTAGACTTAATTAACTTTCTAGGAAGCCATCACACGAGTCATAAAGTTCTCGTTTGCTCCGGATATCGCCGTTTGAAGTTGGACAAGCAATTCTGCCAGCCAACCCAAAACGGCTCCAAACAGCCTTCACTCAATCAATTATTCTGGAAACTACACTCAACCAATTGCTCTCAAATTTTTATACAAGAAACTAGATACCTCAAGCTTCAATTTGACATATCATACACCTAATTTGACCAAGAAACGAAGCGGGAATAATTTTCCCAATCTCGCACCAGAACTGCCACATGTGCATTAACCAAATGGGCAGTCTGTGTTCTCCGCCTTCTACAGGCAGACGCCCAACCCAGGTTTTCCTCAAATTTTGACACGAGATAGAGGACATCCCAAGCTTAAAAACTGCGTATGGAACGTCCCTATCAGACTTCTGTGGAGGGAGATATGCTCTCCCAAATTTCGCCTAAATTCTGCCAATTTCTAGAAAATTCGCCAGAGTTTCCTTTGTTTTTCCAATAAATTCCAAATTTGTAAAAGTGTTCCCTAACCTCAATTTGTACCTAATAATCATTGGGTGGCACACAAGGACCAGCAATACCTTGGTGCTCTTACAACCCTTCACAGTTTATATCCAATTTACTCAAATTACATAACCAATGCTTACTTTTCAATTTAACTAATTTCAATCACAAAAGTCCAATTGCATGCATTCTTTGAATCATAAATCATCATTCACATCCTAGAATAGGCCTATTGCCCTTTCATCATATTACATATTTCAATGTTACATCAAATCTCCATGTTACAATTTACATTGACATAATCTTTCAAATGAAACATAATAAGCAACAACTAAACTTAGCCAAAAGAGACATGAACAAAATGATAATATGAAAGGTCCTATCTCAACATAGTGTTCATGTCTTAAGTCTAGTCTAGGCCCAATGGCCTCAAAATGCAAAATACGTATAAATCCTCCAGCTCAACCTACGGGCTTCTTGCCTGCCGCTCCAACACCACTGCTTCCTCCTGAAATAAAGTCCCCAAAGCGGGATGAGATATATGAATATATCTCAGTAACCCAGAGGTTCTGGAGAATACTCCGCCCAATGGCTCACTTCGATGCATATAAATAACATAACATAACATCCGAAAACAGGATAAAGAAAGGGATTTAGTGAAATAGGGGAGCATAGGGATACAAAATACGACGAAGCTGGAATGGTCAATGCCAAAACCACACAACATCCAGCCTATTGGCTCGGCATATAAGCCTACGAGTTTCAAACCAAGGCGTTGATGCTATCCGGCAAGTATACCGTTTCGCATAAGTAGTAAAGTAGTAAGAAAGATCGTCTCCTCAGGGATTGAAAACCAAGTACTAAAATAATCAGTCACTTTAAGTTGAAAAACTTGATCTTTTGTTGGGAAAATTAAATTGAATCTTAGTAACCATAAAAGTAAAGACTTATTTTTGAGTTTTTGTATTTTCAAGAATGAAAAGAAGAATAATAATGGAGTTGGTTTTGAAAATATGAGAAAGAATTGCAGTTAGGGAACACTCTCCCTATGATCCCCACTTATTACTTTGGATTGATACAAAATACTTATTTATATAATTTCTCAGATAATTATGATCTCAATATATTAATAGTTAAATCCCAATCCCTTGGTAACTTAACCCTTTAACCTCACTTAGAATCCTAATCCCTTAGTAACCCCTCATGAGAATTAAGCAATGAACACAATAATTCCAACATCTGCAATTAAATAGACATCTATCCCTAGTATGCATACCAATAGTTATCTTATCTCCTTTCGAGATCAGAAACCCCAATATCCCTATTTAAGGTTCTAACCCTCAAACTATTTTCAACTATCAAATTGATCAGGTTTAATAAAGAAAATATCAAATACGCACAAGATAAGATAAAGAAATTTATGTAAACGAGTACAATAATTTAAATCAATCCGTCATAACAAGGGTTCACATAGGGTTGTGACCCTAACTACAATAAAAGAACTTAGCCAGACATAGTCATATCCGACATAAACAAATATTCAAAAGAAAGCATAAAAACTATAATTACTAGAAAGAATGGAGAAGAATTCTTGATCTTCAGTCCTCTACTGCTTGCTCTGGGTTGTGAATTGGTTCCTTTGTTGTGCTCCCAATCTCCTTATTTATAACCACCGGCATTGAGCCCATCCAAGAGTTTGTATTTGATTTAAACTTTGTTTCCTTTTTTTCATGTAACAACCTTGGAGATTTGATTGATAAATTAGAATTTCAAATCTTGATTCAATCTTACCACAAATCATCTAATCTTATCTCTAATTTGGATAGAGATCTCATTGCTGAATCAAAAACTTGATTTTTAAATCTTTTTCTTTTCCAAAATTGCCCCGTTGCAAAACACGGGGTCTGAGAATTCGCAAACTGACGCTCTCAGCGTCAACTTCACGCTTCAAGCGTGAACGCTTCTGTCTGAAAAATTTCTTCCACGCTGCCAGCGTGAGATCCACGCTTTGAGCGTGGATTTTGATTTTGCAAAATCCTCGTTTTGCTCCAGTTTGTTTGCTTTTTCCTACAAAATTAGCATAAAATCAGTATTCAATCCTTGATTAAGATTCTGACAAATTAACAGTGATTCTTGCTCTTTTTCTCAAGATTTCATCAACATTCTTTCTCTTTTTGGCTCAGATTTCCTTATATGCTAGGCGCATATCAAACAATTCCCATATTAGGACTTTGCTGTCCTCAGCAATGTAATATATTCAAGTTATCAGCAAAGAATAATTCAGTGAAAACATGGAACACAACATCTTAAGAATTCAGACTGCTATGCATGTATAACTCTTTGTTAAAAACTCCCAACAATGCTTTTCAGTTATGTCAAGAATTAAAACTCCAGCATGAATATTCCTCATCAGTTATAAATATACTCTCATCACGCTCAGTGTTTGAGGGTTTCACACTTATTTCATCAGTGTAGCAGTAATTCCATAGGCTTGAACTTATTCTCAATTCCTAAGAATGAGGAATCCATTTGTCATGCACAGACTGATCAAAAGGTCTTTGATAGGTTGTAACTTGGCCTGGTTTGGGGGTGAGAATCATTTGGTCGGAAGCTTTATTGGAAAGATTGAAATACTGATTTTAACAATACTTCCTTCTCTTCTTCATTATGCCTCATTTTACAAACTTGGGATTCTTTTCCTTTATTTGCTACCTTTTCCTTTCCTTGTTTAACTACTTAACTTTTCCTTTTGAGAAGTACTTTGATTTTTCTTCTTTTGTTCAGCATTCAATCTCTCAAGGTGTGTCAAGAGGAACAAGATTAAGTAATTTTTATCAGGTTGAAATGAACTGGTTTAAGGCTCAAAGGGGCTTAACAATGGAAATTCTTATGGGTAGGCTATTTGGCTCTAAGTTAATAAGAATAAAAATGCCCTTATCATTTTAGTTATGCATGACAAGCCAAAGAAACAGTTCAAGTTCTAGAATCTACTACAGTGAGGCCTCTCTGAAATAAAATTCTGTTTAGGCTCAAATCCTCACGGTTAAAATCCAAACTAGAATCTCGATTCATTGTTTCACATCAAGCATTATCAAACATTTTAGCAAAACAGTTATAAAAACGAGTAGTCATCATTCTCAGATTAAAACAAGTAATTGCTCACAGTTATAATGCTTCATCCAACTCAATCTAATTACTTACTGAGTAAGCTCAGAACATTCTGGAACTGCTTTTTTTTAGGAATAATCTAATTTTTTTTTTTTTTTTTGAAAATAAAGATTGAATCTAACTCAAAACAGCAAATAAAATAAAAATAACAATTGAAGGTTAAAATATCTCCCCTTTTTAGAAAATTTTCTGTTTAGACCGTTCTTTCCGTGGTGTAGTTCTTAACAGGTCTCGCATACAACATGCCATGCGACAATTCCCAGATTAGAATGTTGCTGTCCTCAGCAACAACTATACTAGTCGGAAAGTAATGAAGTGCATAATCATCAGTAGTCCTCCATAGCAGCGTCATCATCCTCATCATCAGCAACAACATCATCCGGAACGGCCTGTGATGCTGCCGCTGCTGGAGATGGAGGTGGTTGAAACTGTGGTCTGAAACTCGCAGTGTCAATCCCGCGATCACTGCATAGCCTCTCCATCATCTCCCTCAGGTACCTCTGCTCGATCCTCATCTCTTGTATCTGAACCATAAGGGAATCTGCAGGAGGTGCAGCTACGGGCTCTGCATCATGCTCAGGTGCAGGTGGTGATGCTGGAGGTGCTCCACCTGCTGCACGGGCTGCCTTCCAAAGAGCATTCCGACTAGATTCTGCGCTCATAGTAGCAAAATTTGTCTGTGTGAGGTCTGTTTTAACCTGCACATCATGGGGCTCATCATCAGGAATCTCCACTCCAGCCGCTTGACAGAGCTTCTGTATCAAAGAACTGTGAGCAAGGTGGATCTCAGCCTTCTTCTGAGTTATGATGTATACTATTCTGTCAGACAAAGTATCAGCAATATGGAGATTTTCTGTACCCATAAGGGTATATA